GACTGCAAATTAGTGCAACCTCTGTGGAAAAGAATTTGGAGATATCTCAGAGAGCTAAAAATAGAAATACCATTCGATCCAGCAATAGCACTATTAGGCATCTACCCAAAAGAGCACAAAACATTCTACGATAAGGACATCTGCACCCAAATGTTTATGGCAGCACAATTCACTATTGCAAGAATGTGGAAACAACCCAAGTGCCCGTCAATCCATGAGTGGATTATCAAAATTTGGTATACGTTTACAATGGAATATTACTCAATCATAAGAAATGACAGTGATCTAGCACCTCTTACACATTCCTGGATTAAACTTAAGCCCATTATCCAAAGTGGGGCACCACAAGAGCAGCAGAACGGGATCCATTTGTACTCACCATCAAATTGGTATTAACTAATCAACACATAAATGCACATATAAGAACAATATCTATTGGATGTTGGGGAAGAGGGAGGGTGGCGGGAGGAGGGGGGAGGAGGGAGGAGGGGACGGGTATTCGTATACACAAGGAGTGAAATGCGCACTACACGAAGGATGGACATATTTGAAACACGGACTTGGGGGGGGAACCAAGGGCAACACACGTAACCTAAACATCTGTACCTCCATAATATGCTGAAATAAAAAAAAAAAAAGAAATAGATTTTCCAGAAAGGAGAGAGGAGGAGAGAGGGAGGGGATTTTGACAGTTGTGTGTGCAAAGGGATGTGCTTTGTGTACAAATCCTAGAAGGGGATTCCATGTCAGTGAACAAAGCCCTGTTGTCGAAGCCTCTCTCCACACATGTACCCTGTCTGCTGGAGGCAGATGGAAATGAGTCATGCCAGGACTTGCGATATAAATATTCATCAGAAGCCTGTGCACGGGGTGACAGCAGCGCTGTGTGCGTACTGCCTGGTTTCTCACCTGTCTGGGGAAGCAATGCATGGAGGACTGCTTCTCCCTTTGACTACCATGCAGATAGGACATTGCTTCTTATAAATGGGAGACAAAACGAAAGTTTTAGTCACCTAATTTGGAATTGTGCCAAGAAATCCCAGAGACAGTAGGATGTCTGGGCAGATGAATCTACAGCAGGAACTGGTTGATTTCAGCCATTTACGAACAGCCAGAATAATCGGGGAGAATAATTGAATCGCTTTCCGTGTGGAGTGGAATGTGTTCTCACCATTTACAAGCTGTTTGCCAGTCTCTGGGGCGTTATTAGGGGATGAACCACATGAACACGACAGAGCTTGACTGGGCTTCCCCGGGGAAACAGCTGGCGGAGCTGGCGCCGGCTCCCAGGGGCTCTTGACTTTCTCTGCTGTGCTTGCGTGTGCCAAGAGCTTGTGTGCTGCTCAGCCCGCAGCCCGGTGGGCCCTGTGGGGCCCCATCTTCCTGTGTTGGAAAGAAGTGATTTTCTCCACAGAAACAACACCGCTGTGAGTGTGTGTGGGGAGTGGGAGGCAGGGCTCCGAAAGAAAGGGAGGGAGCCGGTGAGGGAATAGTCACTAGAAAGACACTCAGGAACTCTCCCAAATTTACGTGGCCAAAAAGTGGCACAACTGAGATTATCCCAGATTGCTCTAACCTCCAGCACCACCTCCAAACTTCAAAAAGACACTTAAAATTCTTGGAAAAGACAAGGGCTCCTGAGTCAGCTGAAGCCAAGAAGTTTGACAGTGGAAATCCCTTGTGGTTTGGGGCCCAAGTGAGGTCCCAGTGGATGAGTCAGAGACTGACGTCCAGCCGTGGAGACAGCTAACAGGCTGAGAATTACACGGAAAGGCACGAGACCCCCCAGCCCCATCCCAGGTGGGTCCTCGGATGTGCATTTTTTGCCGTTCTGTACCAACAAGAAAGAAGATGAGGAGGTTTTTAACCCATAAAGTGAGTGAATCCTGAAAACATAGAGTAGGAAGGAATCTGGCAGATTAACCTGAGGCAGGATTCTCCTTTATCACCCAACCTCTGCTGGAGGCAAGCCCAGTAATAAGTGCAAGCGTGGATTGTGATTCACCTGAAGGTCTGACTCAGGTGAACTCCCAGCTGAATGGCTCTGAGCCTCCCTGTCCCCATATGCCTTGGAATCTAGACCATAGCCTGGCCTCTCCGATTGCTGTGCCTTTGGGACCCTTTCCATCTCTCTGACCTTCTGGACCCCTGAGGCAGTCACATCAGCCTCTGTGGCACTGGGATGGACACGTGGTGGCAGTGGAGTGTCTGTGTCCTTGTCTGTGCCGACTTGGGAGTTCCTCCTGCAAACCCATTCCATCTGCCCTGTGTCCAGTTGCCCTAAAGCTGACAGCTTGCCCTTCACCATGTGGCAAGAGGCCAGAGGACTGGAAAGACCACGCCCAGTGCATGCTGTGTGGCTGAGGGCTCCCACTGGAGGCAGTCTGTGACCTTTTGAGCATACAGCAGGTGCTCAAAAAGTACAGTGCTTGATAAATGAAACAAATGGCATTAAGGGTGGAGTTGCTCATGCTCTGCGCTTTGTGATGCCCAAACTTTTAGGTTCTGGGTGCTTTACTTGCGAGTCAGTGTTGGTTTCAGAATGCAAACACTTGAGGAACAGAGACAGTTCCTCTGGAGTCTTTTAGAGCCCTTGTTTCCTCCCTGAGACTCTGGCTCAGAACACACCTGAAGCATATTCACTGACGGCTGTGTGGTTTCCTGAGGCTCTCTCTGGCTGGCTGAGCTTGGTGACACTGAAGAAGGCTCCATTCGGAGGAGAGGCAGTCCAGAGTGCCCATGAATGCGTGAGTGAAGCAAGGAGGCCGTGAGCTGGGGAGTGCCACCAACAGTCCCGTCCACCCACAGGGCTGGCACTCTGTACCACCACTGCAGGTGTCTGTCAACGTGACCACAAGGCTGGGAGAGGATGCCCCAACAAAGAGCAAAGGGGAATACCAGAAACACATGGTTCCCACTCTCAACACCTTTCTTCTAGTCCAGCTGCAAAATGCAGTTGACATTTAGAAGAACGACTTAAAGACACGTAGAAGTAGCCTGATAACCGGCGGAGAGAAGATGCAAAAGGAGACTGTCAGAGAGCTGTGTGGTGGGGGGTGGGAGTTTGGAAGGGAGGGTGTTCGTGATGGTGGGTCCACATTTCTGACTTTTAGACTCTCCTCCAAAATCATTGCTGGAGCTTAAAGGGTGCAAAGCCCTTCCACATCTGTGCCTGTTATGGAAACAGTTCTCGTTTGTGAGCGTCCGTCATGTCCCTGAGCACTTTGCATCATCATTTAATTCTCACAGCTATGCTACAAGGTGGTTTCACTATCCCCAGCTTACAAATGAGAAAAACAAGGCTTTGATAGCCAAAGTAATTTGACCCAGTCATACAGCCAGCAAGTGGCAGAGATGCATCTGAATGTTCAACTCTGTGTCTCTAAAAACCACTTCATTTCCACTCACAATACCAACAGTAACTCAGTGAAGGATAGGATTTTTTAGTTGTGCAAATTTATGGGGCACGTAAGAACTTTCGTTACATGTCTGTTATGCATAGTGATCAAGTCAGAGTATTCAGGGTATCCATCGCCCAAGTACAATGCATTTCTGTTATGTGTAGTCACCCTACTCTGCTGTCAAACCTTGAACTTATTCTTTCTATCTTACTGTATATTTGTACCATTTAACCCACTCCTCATCATCCTCTCCCCTCCCCCTGCTCACTTTCCCAGTCTCTGTTTTCTATCTTTCCACTCTCCCTCCACGTGTTCAAATTTTTTAGCTCCCACATATAAATGAGAACATACAATATTTGTCTTCTCATGCCTGGTTTATTTCACTTAAGATAATCACCTCCAGTTCTAACCATGTTGCTACAAATGACATGATTTCGTTCTTTTATGTGGCTGAATAGTATTCCATTGTGTGTAGATACCACATTTTCTTTATCCATTCATCTGTTGATGAACACTTAGGTTGATTCCTTATCTTTGCTCTTGTGAACAGTGCTGCAATAAACATGGGAGTAGAGGTGTCTCTTTGATACACTGATTTCTTTTCCTTTGGGTAGATACTCCGTAGTGGGATTGCAGGATTGAATGGTAATTCTGTTTTTAGTTTTTGGAGAAATCTCCATATTGTTTCCCATAGTGGCTGTACTCGTTTACATTCCCACCAACAGTACATAGGAGTTCCCTTTTCTCCACATCCAACATCTGTTATTTTTTGTCTCTTTAATCATAGCCGTTCTGACTGGGGTGAAACAATATCGCATAGTAGTTTTGATTTGCATTTCTCTGATTAGTGATATTGAACATTTTTTCATATACCTGTTGGCCATTTGTGTGTCTTCTTTTGAGAAATATCTATTCACGTCCTTTGCCCACTTTTTATGGGATTATTTTCATTTCTTTCAAGAAATGTTTTGATTTCTGTCTTAATTTCTTCCTTGAATCAATGGTCATATAGGAGCATGCTGTTTAATTTCCATGTATTCGTACACTTTTCAGAGCTCCTCCTGGTACTGATTTCTGGTTTTATTCCATGTGGTCTGAGAAGATACTTGATATAATTTTTTAGTTTTTTTTTTTTGTTTTTTGGTTTTTTTTTGAGACAGAGTCTCACTCTGTTGCCTGGGCTAGAGTGCCGTGGTGTCAGCCTACCTCACAGCAACCTCAAACTCCTGGGCTCAAGCAATCCTTCTGCCTCAGCCTCCTGAGTAGCTGGGACTACAGGAATGTGCCACCATGCCCGGCTAATTTTTCTATATATTTTTAGTTGTCCGCCAATTTCTTTCTATTTTTTTAGTAGGGACGGGGTCTCGCTCTTGCTCAGGCTGGTCTTGAACTCCTGAATTCAAACGATCCTCTTGCCTCAGCCTCCCAGAGTGCTAGGATTATAGGTGTGAGCCACTGCGCCCAGCCTTGATATAATTTTGATTTTTAAAAAATGTGTTGACACTTGTTTTGTGGCCTCATGTATGGTCAGAGAGAATGTTTTATGGCATAGAAATCGCAGGATCTTGCGCTGACTCTTGCTCCTATTTTCTGCTTCAGGTAATCTGTTCTTGGTGAGCCTGGCATTGGCTGACCTGGCTGTGGCCTTGTACCCCTACTCACTGATCCTTGTGGCCATCTTCTATGACGGCTGGGCCCTGGGGGAGGTGCACTGCAAGGCCAGCACCTTTGTGATGGGCCTGGGTGTCATCGGCTCTGTCTTCAACATCACTGCCATCGCCATTAACCGCTATTGCTACATCTGCCACAGCGTGGCCTACCACTGGATCTACCGGCCCTGGCACACCCCCCTGCACATCTGCCTGGTCTGGCTACTCACTGTAGTGGCCTTTCTGCCCAACTTATTCATGGGGTCCCTGGAGTACGACCCGCACATCTACTCCTGCACCTTCATCCAGATGGCCAGTGCGCAGTACACGGTGGCCGTGGTGGCCATCCACTTCTTCCTCCCCATCGCCGTCGTATCCTTCTGCTACCTGCACATCTGGGTGCTGGTGCTGCAGGCCCATAGGAAGGCCAAGTCAGAGAGCAAGCTGTGCCTGAGGCCCAGCACCTTACGGAGCTTTCTAACCATGTTTGTGGTGTTTGTGATCTTTGCCATCTGCTGGGCCCCACTCAACTGCATCGGCCTTGCTGTGGCCATCAACCCAGAAGAAATGGCTCCCCAGGTCCCTGAGGGGCTATTTGTCACTAGCTACTCACTGGCTTATTTCAACAGCTGCCTCAATGCCATCATCTACGGGCTTCTGAACAAGAACTTCTGCAGGGAGTACAAGCGGATCCTCTTGGCCCTCTGGAACCTATGGCACTGCTTTCAGGATGCTTCCAGGGACAGCCAATCCAAGGGCCCACAGAGCCCAGCCCCATCTGTTGTTAGTGCCCAGCACCCTGTCCAGGCTGATACTCTCTAGCACACCAGCTGTGCGATAAACTCATGAAATGGTGGAAGTGGACCTGCTGTAAGGGTGATGTCAGGCAGCCTGCTGGGCCGTGCCGTCCTGTGGGCATCCACAGCCCATGGCTGAGGGAAATTCATGCCAGGACAAGCAGCCCGTCAACACCCTGGCTCATCAGTCAATGCCCACAGGCAGTGGACCTGGCAGACACTCTCAGGAGTGTGTTGGGGGCTTGGTGCACATGCGATCAAGGAAGGAACAGAATGAGAAAGGCCTGGGGCAGAAGAGGCCAACTCCTTCCCATGGGCTGGCCATTGTCCTCCTGCTTTGGCCTCCTCACTGCTTTCTCCCCTCCCCAATGGGTGGCAGGAGTGGATCTCTCCTGTCAGCAAGGACCGAAGAGCAAGGTCTGCAGGACTGGAAGGTGAGTGATTCTGCAGGGCCTTGGAGTGAGGCAGTGCCTTTCAGAGGGCAAGCATTCCTCTCTCTCCCCACTGATCTGCCCTACACACACACACATGCACGTGCATGCATCATATCACAGACATGCCACACCACATACGCAGCAAACCACACACTGCACACATGCACACTCACATGCACCAGACCACAGACAAGCCACACTACATACACCCAAACCACATAATGCATTCACACACTATACTACACCCACACCCCAAACCACACACTGCACACATGCATACATGCACCACAGCACAGACACACCACTTTACACACACACCAAACCACACACTGCACACATGCACGGTCACATGCACCACACCACAGACACGCCACATGACACACACACCAAACCACACAATGCACACACACATCAAACCACAGAATGCATGCACACCCCACACAACAAACACACTACAGATAGCATATATACACCCCACACCACAGTATAAACACACACCATACTACAAGCATGCTACACACATACCACCTATACTGTACACATAGTATGAACATACTATATTTGCATACACACATTACACACTCAAAGCTACCGTGTCACAGACACACACACACTCCTCAGGCATCTGGAGCATGAAGTCTGCTTGGCTTCCTTTCCTGGTTCCATCATGTTCAGGTTGTGTGACTGGGGCGAGTCCCCTAACCTCTTTATTCCTCAGTTTATTCATCTTAAAATGCCCAGAGTCTACCTCCCTGAGTGGTTGTGAGGGTTCACCAGGGTAATACATCTGAAGCGCGGAGGACAAAGCCTGCCACACAGCTAGCACTGAGGAATTGTTAGCTTTTGTTATTATCCTAACTACATAAAATGAAAAATACCCTTGAAAGAGAAAAGAAACCTTGTACAAAGGAAGGCAAGGGGAGAAATTGGAGTTTGGGGTAAGTGGGAGTGGGGGAGGGGAAGCTCCACCCAATTCCTTTCTGTGGTTGTGTTTGTGGACTTTGTAGAAATCTCAGGGTTTCACTTAGCACCAACGAAGTTAGTTTTCTTCATCAATTCCACAAAGATTAACTGGGTGCCCTTTGTGGGCCAGGTCTGGCTTGTTGCCTGCCCTTTGGGAAGGTCCTTGTCTGTTGATAACTCAGTACCAGCTAACATACACTGGGTGTTTTCATAGTACCAGGCACTATGGTGGGGGCTTTGTACGCATCATCTCATTTAATCCTCACAAACACTTGGCAATAGATATTATGATCTGTTTTCATAGTAAAAAACTGAAACTCAAAGAAGGGAAATGATTGGCCAGGTTCACAGAGCTGTTAAGTTGTCTGACGGCAGCACCCCACTCCTGTGCCCCTTGTCCCCCTTTGGAATGTGTGGCAGGGACCAAGTGCAGGGAGGTAAGTACCCCAAGTACATCAGGTACCTGGTGGCCTGCAGGGAGAGAAAAGTTACCTCCACCAGCTGGCGGCTTTCCTAAATGAAGAGCCTAGGACCTGCTTGGTGTGCGGACCTCTTAGCATCGCACTGGAAACTCCCTTCCCTTGTGATGTGAGGGATCTGGGCTGGGTGCGGTGCTTAGTCAGCTAGTCCCCTGGGAGCTTGTTAAATATGCGGATCTTCTGGGCTCCACCAACAATGTTTCGAAGGTGGAAATCTGGGGCAGGTCCTGGGAATCTGATTCTGACACTGATTCTGACCAAACTGTTAGGAATATAGGTGTCATAGTCCTGGTCATTGCAATGGCAGGGGCCAGTTGCCAAGAGTGGAGCATCCCACCCAGGGGGGCTCCCAGTGCACACCTCAGTCCCACCCAGTGGGGCCTGCCAGTTCACATCTCAGTCCCAGAGAGGCGCAGAAGAGTCCTAAGGGTTCTCCTTGAGCTGCAACCACTTTTCCTGGCTCTGGGCAGAGCCTGAGGCTGACCTGGTCAGGCCTGTGTTGCTCTCTGTCCTCACTGCCTCCTCCCAACAGGCACCAACTGTAGGCATTTGCTCTTTATTCCCCATTTAGAGGAGAAGGAGGCATCAATTTCTTGGCAACAACATGTCCCCAGCTCCTCCCCTTATCCCTGTCTTTTGGCGCTGAGTTGAACGCAGGGCATGTGCTCAATAAATATGCTTTGAAGGAACAAAAACTCTCTTCAGTTTCCTGGGCCCATAGCTGTTACCTAGTTTGCCAGGGGTCGGCACTGACAGTGCACTAACTGGGACCTTCTTTGTGTCCACAGGTTGTTAGTGATGAACCAAGAGCCAAGAGAATGAAGAAGAATGGGAAAACCCAGGATGTAGGGTGATGCTCATATTCAGATGGAATGGCCTCACGCCGAAGGTGCTGACTTTAAATAAAGATGATTTTGCTAAAAGAGTGTGGGAACAATATCTGTCTTCTACCTTCTTGACTCTAGACAATCTGGTCAAAGGTGCCACCTAGCTACCTTCCTCCCCATCCTTCTGGGACCTTCCTCTGGACCCTTTGGTTTTGAGCTCTGTATGAAACCCTCACCCATCAAGGGAACTCAAGTCTGGGTCCAGATTTCTGATGGGGTTGACACCTGAGGTGAACCAACACCTGGGCCCACCCATCAGCCACGCAAGATCAGTCCCGAAGCCAACACAGCACACACCCCACTTGTGCCCTCCTATGGGCATCCCTTTGCTACCTGCCCATTCCTCTCAGTCCACTGAGTCTGCGGCTGAAATACTCGGGTTGATTTTCGTTCCATCTGAGTGGCTTTCCCCCAGGAATGTATAGCAGAATCACTTGGGGAATACTTAAAAACTACAGACTCACAGTCTGCGAGGGTGGGGTTGGGAACCTCTGTGTGGTCTGAAAATGCTCCTCAGGTGCTCCTCTTCTGCAGACCTGGCTGGGACCCCTGCTCTGTGAATGCTTCCTCGGTGCTCACCTTCATTCCCGTGGTCATCACTACTATCTCCACTGAGATGTCCCCAGCTGCCTGCTACACAGTTACTCTTAGCACATGCTAAGTTCTCACCCCATGCCAGGCACTGTTGTAAGGACTTTATACCAATCAATTATCATATTTAGTCCCCACAACAGTCCTGAGAGGGAGGTCCTATTATTCTCTTCCATTTATAGAAGAGGAAACTGAGGCACAGGGAGGTTATGTAACTTGCTGAAGTTCACATAATTAGTAATTGGTGGAGCCAGGCTCCGAAACCAGGTAATTTGACATGGAGTCTGTACTCTTGACTAATAGCTGTACCTCCTCCCTCAAACTCGCATATCCACAATGGGATCACTGGGTCCTATAGTAGACCCATTTTTAATTTTTTGAGGAACCTCCACACTGTTTTCCATAGTGGCTGTGACATTTACATTTCTACCAACAGTGTGCAAGTGATCTGATGTCTCCACATCCTACTCAATACTTTTTTTTGGTTTTTGATGATGGCCTAACAGGTGTACAATGATATCTCATTGTGGTTTTGATTTGCATTTCCCTGACAATTAGCGATGATGAGCATCTTTTCATATACCTGTCACCAATTTGTATGTCTTCTTTGGAGAAATGTCTATTCAAGTCTACAGACTGAATGTTTATGTTCCCTCTCCCCCAAATTCATATGTTGAAACCTAATACCCAGTGTGATGGTGTTTGGAAGTGGGCCTTTGGTAGGTGATTAGATCATGAGGATAGAGCCCTTATAAATCAGGTTAGTGCTCCTGTACGAGAGACCCCAGAGAGCTCACTGCCTCTTTCACCATGTGAGGTTACAGTGAGAACATTGCTATTTATGAACCAGGAAGTGGGCCCTCACCACACATCAAATCTACTGGCACCTTGATCTACTCAATCTAAGATATTGTGTTATACCAGCACAAATGGACTAAGACAGAGTCCTTTGTCTATTTTTAAAGTTGGGTTTTTTTTGTTGTTGTTGTTATTGAGTTATAGGCATTCCTTATATATATTATTAATATTATGGATAGTAACCCCTTATCAGTTATGTGGTTTGCAAATATTTCCCCCCATTCCATAGGTTGCCTTTTCACCCTGTTGATTTTTTTCCTTTGCTGTGCAAAAGTGTTTAAGTTTATTATAATCCTACTTGTCTATTTTTGCTTTTGTAGTCTGTTCTTTTGATGTCATAGCTAAGAAATCATCACCAAAACCAATATAATGAAACTTTGCCCTAGTTTTCTTCCAGGAATTTTACAGTTTCAAGTATTATGATTACGTCTTTACCCCATTTTGAGTTAGTTTTGTATATGTTATAAAATAGGGATCTGATTTCATATTTTTGCATGTGGATATCCAGTTTTCCCAGCACCATTTTTTTTGAAGAGACTATCCTTTCCCCATTGGGTATTCTTGGCATCTTTGTCAAATTAGGAATAGAAGGAAATTATCTTAACTTAATAAAGGACATATATGACAAGCCCACATCTAACATCATCACATTCAATCATGAAAAATGGAAAGCTTTTCCTCTAAGATCAGGAACAAGACAAGGGTGAACACTCATGCCACATCTATTCCACATAGTACTGGAAGTCCTAGACAGAGCAATCAGGCAAGAGAAATAAATGAAAGACAATCAAATTTGAAAGGAAGAAGTAAAAT